CCAGGGCAACCGCCACCTTCCCTTCCTTCCAGCGTGGAGAGGCACTTTCCTGCTGGCTATCTGGCAGCGGCACTAGAATACCTGCTGCAGAGTTGGGGTTAGGGGGAACCACACCCAAACATAACGCGGGTTCTAGTCCTGACTCAACTACTGTACCACTCCGCGATCCCTGGCCATGCCGCTCCGGGGCTCAGCATCTTATTTTCCTCAAGCATTAATTGAGGAAGTGGCTAGATCAGACCACAGCTGCTTAACTGGGGGGTTAGGAAGGGGCTTTTGCACCTCCTGGGAGTACGTGATGTTTCCCCACTTGAGCATTTGGCTGGGGAGAGAGGGATCCTCGGCTTTTATCTGATTCTCTTTGCTTTCCAAATAGCTTTGACGTCCCCTCCTCCCTGATCCCCCAGCCCACTGGCCTCGAAAGTGATCCTCGAATGGCGCCTCACGGCCAGGTCGGCGATGTTGACTCGGTTGAAGATTATGTTTTCTATGCAGCCTCGGAAATTATGCCGATAGGCAAGGTTCTTCTGCGCGGCTCCCACTAGACCCCCGATGAACATCTGCGGGCGGGGTGGGGGGTAGGGTGAGGATCCCTGGGTGCCAGAACGCGCGCATGCGCACCATTCTCGCTCCTCCGTCCCACACTTGCCCAGGCTCCCTGCCTGGCTTCATAAAAGACTTGAAATATACATTTCCTCAGTATCGGTATTAAAGCTGGAAGCTCGCTGGGCCTCCCCAGATTTGGGTTCTAGCCCTGATTCCACCACAAATTGGCTGCATCCCCGTAGGTAAGTCAATTAACCTGTCTGGGATTCTTTATCTGCAGATCAGGGCCACAGAGTTGGGCAATGGAAGGGGGCAATTTTCTCATCTCATCTGATCCCCAAAACCCAGATTTCCAGATCCCATGTCAGTTGTTGTGGGGTGGTGCTGGGGAAATCTGCCTGCTAACAGCCAAGAATAGCCAAAACCTCCCAGGCCTGGGAGCTGCAGCTTTGCTAAGAGCTGCTAGGATATTCAGGAACTATGGTAGAGAAAAGTTGTATCCCCCACTGACCCACCCAGCACCCCAACTCAACTAAATGAACCCCTCTGCTCACCTCATTATCCAGGTTCAGCCTCTCAAAGTCCCCATTGAGCACAAAGCGCTGCACATAGCCGTCCAGGGTGAGGTTTGCTTCCCGGCCAAATCGGTCCACACGCACATAATGCCAGTGCTGGTCGTTAAGGACACCACCAGCGCTCACTGTGGTGTGACCCGGCCTTGGCTGGATGGGGCTGCTGCCTGCGGGGAGGAAGGAGCAGGGTCAGACCTACAATCTGGAGAGCCCCTGAGAGGCCTACCCCCTGAGGTGGAGCAGCAGCCAGGAGCTTGGCACAGGAAAGAGATGGCTTGGCACAGGGCCCAGGCAGCCCAGGAGGGTTGGGCATATAGAGGTTGGATGTCTTCAGCTTGGGATCCAGTGGTGGCTGTTGGCCAGTATGTGACTTAGGGCAAGTCATTTAACCTCTCTCAGTCCCTGTTTTCCAATAGCTGCTTCTGCTTCATCATATGGATGTTATGAAAAGCTAATGAGATACAAAATAACAACTCCTTGGGTTTCTATGTATATGTACATGTAGTATATATACGGTTTCTACGATGAGGAAACAGACTGAGGAAGTGCCTTGCCCAAGGTCACACCATTGGTCGGGTATAGCTGAGACTGGAATCCAGATCTCCTGATTCAAGAGTCCAGGGTTTTGCTAGGACCAAATTCTGCACGAAGAAGGCGGGTTGGTCCAAACACTAAGGAAGGGCCTATCAGGAGTGGGCGCGGCTTCGCGGAGGCGGTGCAGCGAGGGGCGTAACCCCAGAGCCGCAGGGGTCGCAACCCAGTGGCTGAGCTCACCCAGGCTCATGTGCAGAAGCAGGTGCGCCCCCTGCAGCTCCAGTGTGATGTAGTCGCCCTGGACGCCCTCCGCGTGCAGAAGAAGCCCGTCCTTCTCTTCGGTCTTGAAGCTGAAGGCGAACACGTCCCACAGGCTCCGGCTGACCCCTCGCGGGAAGCGGTACGAGATGGCATCATCGCCGTCGAAATAGAGCACGTCGGACTCTGCGCGAAGGACAGTAGGTGGGCCGAAGACCGGGAAGACTATGTCCCAAGGGCCCCGCCACGACCTCCGCACGCTTACTGTAAGGACAGCCGTAGAGGCCGAGCCTTAGGCCGATCTTGCCGCGCGGGTTCCAAGCCAATGGCACGATGCGGATGTAGCGCGCGGTGAAGTGGTAGTGCAGGTCGTGGCGGACTATGGCCGACTCGTTCACGTTACCGAAGAAGGTCTGAGGGGGGAGGGGAGAGGAGAGACCGGGTCCCCACCTTCCGCTGCGTTTCTCTACAGCCTCCCAGCCCACAGTTGTCAGACCCAGCCAATATCGACTTCCAGAAAGCAAACTCTCCCAGATCTCCTTGGCCCTCATGGCTTCAGAAAAAACAGGTGCCCTAGAGTAGATCTTCCTCTCCTGCCTTCCTGTTATTTCTTCAAAGCTCAACTCAGATGTCCCCTCCTTCAAGAAGCTTTCCCAGATTTTACCCTAAAGAATGTTAAACCCTGTCATCTGAGAATGTCTTGCACACATGAGGAGCTGACAGTCCCTCTGGACTGAATCCCCAGATTGGAAGTCACTGCTCCTCATGTGTGTCCTCACCACCTTCTCCTCCATTTCCCCCAAGCTAGTGCCCAGCCCAGGTCGCAGAGCTGGGGAGGTTCTCCAAGTGTGTGCACTGGGGGGCCTGGAATACCGCATTGTGCCCTCTCTGGTAGAACGGCGTCCAGCTGTCCACTCGGTCCCCGTAGAGCAGCATGTAGCGTGTAACCCAGTCCCACGAGTTAAACGAGCCCTGAGTGGCCACAGCTCGGATCCGGTGCTTCTTCATCAAGTCGATCTGGAGCCAAGGATTTGGATCCCCAATTCGGGGAGACCATCCGCTTATGCCTGTAGAAGAGGGCTTTTACCACCGGCTCTCCCTTTACCCCTAGCCCTCCAGAGCCCCCCTCCCCCGGCAGCGTTGGGGCGGCAACTCGCTCACCATGCAGCCGGGCAAAGCGGGGTGCAGTGAAGAGCCCATAGTAGGAGGAGGCACCCAGGGAGCGTGCGTACAGAGGCCCGACCAGCTCCTCGTCACAGCCGTCTGGGTTGGGGAAACAGACATTTTGGTCTGGCGGCCCCTCCCAGTTCCTTCCAAAGACCCGGCACACTGAGCATCTGGAGCTCCTCCTTCTCTGCTTCCCAGCGGCCAACCCAGCCCTAACTTAAGCCATCTACTCAACCTGGGCTAAAGCAACAACTGCACAATCAGAGGTGGCTGCCTTCTCCTTCTGGGTGGACCTCTAAGCCAGACCTTCCCTAGCTCTGTGACTGCCCTGATACCAGCCCAGCCTTAGTCCTCCCCAAAACACAACCCCAAACCTCAGCATCTTTCAGAACCTGAGTCAGCCCAAGGCACCAATCCAGCCCCAGCCTTATCATCGGTCCTACTCATCAGCACCCCCAGTCCTCACCAACCCCAAATCCAGGCCTTGCTCCCAAACCCTGCCAGTCATACCAGCATCACTAGCTCCAAGTCCAACCTTACCTCAATCACGGTCACCAACTCCTTCTTGGATCCCAGCCTCAAAATCCGGCCCCAGCCCCAAACCCTAGCTCCTGGACCTGCTCCAAGCCCAGCCCCAGACCCTGGCAAAAACCTTAACCCTTGCCGGGGTCACCAGTAACCACCCTTATCCCCAACCCTCAAACCCAAGCACCAGCTCCCGCTTGGATTCCAGTCCCAAATCCCCGGCCAGGGCCGACTCGATCCTCGGCTCTGGCCCTTCGGAGCCCAGCACCAGCCCGGGAGCGCGCGCCAGCCTCCGAGCTGCATTGCGGAGCGCGGGGGAGAAACAGGAAAGGATGGGAACCGGCGAGCGCGCGCCGGCCGAGGAGGGACCCGCGACCACCTAGCCGCAATGCGGCTGGACCCGCCCTGCAGGCTTTGGACTCCCCGCCCAACCCTTCGTGCACCTGAGCCCGGCACTCACAGTAGCCCCAGCTCCGGGTTCCTGAGACGGCGGCGAGCAGGATGCAGAGGAGCCGGAGACACATGGTGCAGGGCTGACGGGTCTCAGCGGCCGCCTCCCAGTGCGCGGCTCTGGCTAGGGCTCCAGTTCCAGGTCGGGCTCCCCGTTCTCCTCCTGGGGTTCGCAGCGGACAGCTCTCTCCTCCTAACCCACCCCTCCCTCTAGCCTCTCCCCCAACCCCCTTCTCTCTCTCTCTCTCTCTCTCTCTCTCTCGTTCCAGGTTCTCCGCTGCTCGCTCTCTCTCTCCTTCCCACCCTCTCTCCTCTCACCTCCCCCTTTCCCCAGCCTCGCTCTCCCGGCACGCGCAGCTTTCCCGGACCCCGCGCAAGCGCGCGCCTCAGCCCTGCTGCGAAAGGGCGGGGGTGGAGAGCCTCCAGCCGCCGGGAAATACCCTGAATAACCCGAGGCTGGCAGGGACTGTGGCCGCAGGAGTGGGGGAAGGAAGGCTAGAGCCAGTCGATAGGTCCCCCCAAATCCAAGAAAAGCGGGGAGGGGTGGGGCGGATACCGGGAGATGGAAAGAAGAGCAAGTAAAAGAATATAACATTTTCTGAAAGCAAATTATGCTCCAGGCACCTGTGCTAGGCACCCTCATAACCCTGTGAATTCGGCATTTTTACCTTTCTCCACTCTGCAGATGAAAAACTCGAGGCTCAAAAAGGTAAACTTACTCAAGATCACACAGGTAGCTAGCAAATGATATTTCAAAATCCATTCTTTTTTCTACTGGCAGGGTAAAGAGAAAAAAATAGGGGGGTGGAATGGGAAGTTAGGTAAAGAGAGCCCACAGACCCTAATCCCCACCGCCCTCTGCGTCCATCTCCCCGCCCCTTCCTTCCTGTCCCGCTAGTTTAACTTGTCTCTACAGTGGCTATACCTCAGAAACCTGTGTAGCCAGAGATGGAGACCGAGCCCACAAAGCAGGTGGGAGTTGGGGCTGGGGGGAAGGGTTTTAGAGAGGGAGGGTAAGGCAAAGGGATGGGATTCCCTACCTGGTAACAAGCTTCTGTCATGCTTTGACCTATCAAGAATATCTTGAGCCATCTAGACCTGGGACCTTCCAGATAGATGGGCCTGGTGATGTGAGGCGATGTTGGGTGATGGGACTAGCCTGAGGGGAATCGAGAGCTAACCCTAGAGGTCGGAGGTCCCAACAAACACCAGAAAACCTGTGTCCCTTGTCATGAGTTCTCTGCAGTATGCCTGCAGTCCAGGGACCCCCTCGGAGGCAAAGCCTGCATCTGGGTGTTCTTCCAGGAGAGGGCGCTGCAAACAGAACTGAAGCTCCAAGATTTTTTTTTTTTTAAGATTTTATTTATTTATTCATGGGAGACAGAGGGGGGCGGGCAGAGACACAGGCAGAGGGAGAAGCAGGCTCCACGCCCGGAACCGAGGTGGGACTTGATCCCGGGTCTCCAGGATCACACTCTGGGCTGAAGGTGGTGCTAAACCGCTGAGCCACCCGGGCTGCCCCAAGATTTATTAATAATAGAAACCTTGACCTACGAAGAGCACAGAGGCTTCACATCCATTATTTTCCTTATTTCAAACAACTCTGCCACTTGGACTGGTCAGGATTTCTAATCTCGCCAATACATAATAGGCAACTGAGATCCAGAAAGGTCAAGTTCTGCCAGGAAGCTGGACGCAGAGGCAGAAAGGGTGCAGTGGAAGCCAAGGCTTGTCGGAGGGTGTGCTAGGAAGACTTTGGGGAAGGGTTTGTATCTTCTTCCTCTATTCTGTTGTCATACCGCAGCTCCCAGCTTGGAAGGTGTGTGTGGGAGGGGAAGGTGTGTGGGAAGCTGTCTCATAAGGTCTCTCTCATTTTGACCCCCCCCCCAGGTCTCCTGGGGCCCCTACTCTGGGGAAGATGAGGAGGCATACTCAGCAGAGCCGATGCCAGAGCTCTGCCACAAGGCAGATGTCCAGGCCTTCAGTAGGACCTTCCAACCTAGTGTCTCCCTGGTGGTGGCTGCACTGGGCCTGGCTGGCAATGGCCTGGTCCTGGCCACCCACCTGGCAGCCCGACGTGCCGTGCGTTCGCCTACTTCTGCCCACCTGCTCCAGCTGGCCCTGGCCGACCTTCTGCTGGCCCTAACCCTACCCTTTGTCGCAGCCGGGGCTCTGCAGGGCTGGAGTCTCGGAAGTGCCACCTGCCGCGCCATCTCGGGCCTCTACTCGGCCTCCTTCCACGCCGGCTTCCTCTTCCTGGCCTGTATTAGCGCGGATCGCTACGTGGCCATCACGCGGGCCCTCCCCGCTGGACCGAGGCCCTCTGCGCCGGGCCGCGCACACGTGGTCTCAGCCATCGTGTGGCTACTGTCGCTGCTTCTGGCGCTGCCTGCTCTCCTTTTCAGCCAGGACGGGCAGCGGGAAGGCCAGCGACGCTGCCGTCTCATCTTCCCCGAGGGCCTCACGCAGACGGTGAAGGGGGCCAGCGCGGTGGCGCAGGTGGTCCTGGGCTTCGCGCTGCCGCTGGGCGTCATGGCCGCCTGCTACGCGCTCCTGGGCCGCACGCTGCTGGCCGCCAGGGGGCCTGAGCGCCGGCGCGCGCTGCGAGTCGTGGTGGCCCTGGTGGCGGCCTTCGTGGTGCTGCAGCTGCCCTACAGTCTCGCCCTACTCCTGGATACTGCGGACCTCCTGGCTGCCCGCGAGCGGAGCTGCCCGGCCAGCAAGCGCAAGGATCTGGCACTGCTGGTCACCGGAGGGCTGGCCCTGGCCCGCTGCGGCCTCAACCCCGTGCTCTACGCCTTTTTGGGCCTGCGCTTCCGCCAGGACCTGCGGAGGCTGCTGCGCGGTGGGAGCTGCAGCCCAGGGCCTCACCCCCGCGGCCGCTGCCCCCGCAGGCCCCGCCTCTCTTCCTGTTCGGCCCCCACGGAGACCCACAGCGTCTCCTCCTGGGACTACTAGGGCTGCGAACCCGAACCCGAGGGCAGAGGGGCAGAGGGCGGGCTGAGGAAGTGATGCCAGGGAGGGTAGTGGGAAAGGGGAGTAGGTGGGGGAACACCGAGGAGGTAGGGACCTAAAGGAATTGCTTCTGTACTTTGCCACACTAAATTGATAACATGGAAATGAGATGCAAACCAACAACTGTTACTATTTTTGAGTCACGCACTTGGAAGTGATTTGCAGCAGGGCAGTACCAGTGGGTTCCCCCTCCCCCTCCGGTGGAAAGCACTGAGAGTCCGGGTGGGGGTGCAGAGCTGCTGAGCCTGCTGAAGCTCTAGGCACTGTCACCCCCTCCACTTTCACCCGGTCTCTGCGAACAAGAGGTGAGGTGGGAAAGCTGCCAAGCAAGGAGCGCTGGAGTTCCTCTTGAAGTAGCAGAAGCAAGAGCTTTCTAACAACTACAGTGCTATCCAGTAATGGCTGCCTTAGCAAGCACTGAGTTCCTGGCCTCCGGAATGTTCAGGCCAAGGCTGTTGGGGACTGTGTGTGCCCTTGCATGGTGGAGTGGTAGAGAGGGACAGTGGACAGGCGATTCCCTTTTTGGGTGGGCTCTTGGATTAGATTACCACTTTATGGGCCCTTCTAAGGTGGCAGAAAGAAAAGAAAAAGAAAAGGGTAATTTAAAAAGTTGAGTCTGAGTTTTTCGCCACGGAGAAAAACCAAGGAGAGAATTTCAATTTGAAAATTTCCAGAGTCGTTATCAGGGGTGTGGTGGGGCTGGGGGTGACTGTCGTTCTCCATCTTCCCTGGGGACAGAGTCAGAGGAAATGCACGGAGCCTGCCGGGAAGAAAGAGGTTAGACATCGGAAAGAACTTTCCTGCAGGCAAGGGCCTGGGATCCAGTCACGGGAAGAAAGTATGTGGTTTGAATGTCACCATCTCTAGGAGCTCTCAGTGCTGGCCACTGTCATCTGGGGCGGGGGCAAGGCCGGAATGGCCTCTAGAGATGGTCGCATGGACTCCTGGTCTTTGTTACACAAGCACGGGAGGCAGGATGGTGTTCACGTGCGACAACTCCCGCAGTTTAATATCCGGTCAGCAAAGCTGCCCCGACCACTCCAGCCTGGAGTCTGGGGACCTGGGGCAAGAAGGGCGGGGCGGGGCGGGGCGCGGAGGTCTCAAGGGAGGCGCTGGCCAGACGTCTCCGCCCTGTCCCGCCCCGCCCAGCTCGGGTTAGCCTTCCTTCCTAGAGCCTCCGGCGGCTGAGAACTAAAGCCACCGCCAGCTGGGGACAGGATCCAGGGAAGGCCCGGAGATGGCGCCGATCCTCCAAAGGTCCTACAAGGCAGCCACTGGGGGCCAACCTGGAACCCTCCACCGGAGACCGCGGGAATCGCCGCTGAGTCAGCAACGCACGCGCGCGCCCGCGGGAGCCCTGGCCCCGCCCCGCCGGGTCCGTGCTGCGCCTCGCTTAACCCCTTCCCACACAGAACCTCAGCCTATTCGCCCCGCCAGGCCTCCACTCTATTCGAGGGCCGCAGAGTTCTCTTGAATCTTACATCACTCTCCCCACTGGAGTTCAGTGAACTGTGCCGTCGAAATTAGATTTTATTTCCCACCTAGGTCTGCACTTCCCCGAGTCTCTGCCCCAGCTTCTTCACCTTAAAGAGAAGGTGACTCAGACCTAGGAATTGGATTACTCCATCCAGGGGCGGAGGGCCGCCTCTAGAGCTGTCCTGGCGCAGGTAGCCAAAGCTCTTTCCTTTCTCAGGGACCCTGAGACGAGACGGGGATTCAGAGAGCAGCAGTCGGGGCCATCCTCTATGCCCTATGGCCTTCGTTCTCCAAAGCTCCTTCTCCAGAGGGTTTTTAATCTGTTGGGTGGTGAGCCAAGAGTTAAAACAAGGGCATGAAGGCGGGCTTCCGTGACATCACTAGCACTCCGCGTCCGACCTCAGGGACGGGGGCGTGGCTCACATCGCACCGCCCCCTCCCTCCTTATTCCTCTGCTCCTCCCCGCTGTCACCGAGCCAGGGGCACATGATGCAACCCACCGCGGTTTCAGTGGCCTGATTGGTGGCCGCGCCCGGCGCCAGGCACAGGGATTGGGCAGGGGAGGCTGTGACGAAAACTACACCCTGCCCTGTAAAGAAGGGAGGAGAGAAAGAAGAGGGAAGGGGGGGGCCTTAGAGGGGAGGGGGTTGGGGAGGCGGGGTCCCGGCGCTGTGCTCGCGCCCCTAGCGCGCCAGTCCCGGGGCTGCAGGGAGCGCAGCGCGCGCGGCCCGGGCCCCGGACACCGGACACCCTACCGGACACGACCCTCCCTGGAGCTTGGACAACTGCCCACCTCGGAGATTGCACCGGACACTGCCCCCCACAGGGCTGGACACTACAACGGACACTACTTCCCAGCTCCGGACATTGCTACCCCCCCCAGCCCTGGACGCTTTCCCCCTCCCCCTCCGGGGACCCAGACACCGAGCCCCCTGCAGGCTCTAGCAAGCGACCCCTTGCACCCCAGAGCCAGACACTGCCTGCTCCTTGTCCCCCTCTCCCTTCCCTTCATCCCGCCGCATCATTCCCCCGCTGGGGTCGGAGCCCCGCCAGTTTCTCCGACCCCCTGCAGCTCGGCCCCGGCTGCCCGCGCCCCCATCCCCCGGCTGCTCGCCCGGATGCCTCTCCCCGGGGGATTGTGGTGGCTTCTCTGCTGCCGTCGAGGCTTTACTCTTCTACACCGGGACTACGGGGACGGCGAGCTTAGCGGGGACGGGGACGAGGACGAGGACGAGGAGACCTTTGAGCTGCAGACCCCGAGTCCAGCGGGCGGCGGGAGGGTAAGTCCCTGGGGGGTTGCAGCCTTGTCTCAATCCCCCTCACTACAGCAGGCCGTCACGTCCGATCCTGCTCCAGACTCCAGCCAAATGCAGTGCTCTGGGCGGACGGGGAAGTGGGAGAGGTTTTTGCCTGGGGGCCAGGAGCCCCCCCGGGAGCTTAAGGAGCAGCTCTGCTCGGGATGTGCCTGTGGGCCTCGCGCCGCATGCTGGGCGCTGTCCACCTGCTAGGGGCCCGGAGGCAGGGGAGGCGTCACGCGTGGCCCGACCTGGCCCTGCCTCTCCCTTCCCCGCCGGGCCCGCGTCCCATCCCGTCTCCTTCCGCCTCCGCCAGCGCCGAGGAATGTGGCGAGGCCGGCTGGGCGGCTCGGACGCCTGGGTCCGCTCCGCTCCCAGTTCGTGAGCGCTGAGTGCTGGGGCCAGATGCCGGAGCTCCCGCCGCGGGGACCTGGGAGAGGGGGAGAAGGCATCCTCAGATTGGGGTCCGTGGCAGGGACCCCACGGAGAGGGAGTTGGGGGCCACAACTCTTCGAGGACCCCTCGTCATTACCCTGCCACTCAAGACAGAACTCTCGGCCCTCCCTGGTGAGGCTCCTGGGGAATCCTGAGGGGATGGTGAGGGACGCTTGGCTCCCCAGTTTTGTGGAACCTCTCGGTGGGGAAACTGAGGCTCGATTAATCTGGAAGACCTCCCCACTGACGTCCCCTCCTAAATTCCCCTGCACACCAGCAACCAAACTCCCGTGTGCTATGGTCTGGGTCAGGCTCCCATCCCCCGCTCAGGGGTCCCCAGCAGGCCCGGTGGCTTGGTGCCCGGGTGGGGCGGGCTGCGCCGCTGGGGCCGGCGCCAGCACCTGGCGGAGGCGGAGGGCGGATAAATATAGAGGGGGGTGGAGGGAGGGAAGCAGGGGACTGCGATTAGGGGAGTTGGTCTAAGAAAGTGGTCAGCACCTGCCCCCGCGGTGGTGTGGCTAAGAACTCCTCCTGGACCCTCCAGAAAAATAGGTGGATCTGTTCCAGGAAGGCGCAGGACCCAGGCATCCCCAAGTTTCCAGCCTGGGCAGGGTCAGCTCTGTGAACCAGCCATTGCCTCCCTCATGCTCCACCTCTACCCCCCTCCCCCGAGCTTGGGGACAGGTGTCCCTGGCCCCCCCACCTCCCCCTCCTGGCTTTAGCAGTCTGGGCGCGATGGGACGATGGCACAGTTCCTGCCTGACCTGGCTCCTGGATGGGTTTTTGGCCTCTCTCAGACCCTAGTCTACTGTTGAAGTTCCAGGGCAGGGGAGAGAAGAGCAAAATCCTGAATTGTACCTCCCCTGGAGAGTGTGTGCCATTTCAGCCTGTCTTTCCTGAGCCCCAGCAAAGGGGGAGGGTCTCTGCCTACCACAGAGTCTCAGGGTTGTCTGTGGGAGGGTATAAGTTCTTGGAGAAAGCCCTATACTGAAAGAGTCTCTCTTCCTTTCATCCACCTCTATGCCCACCACCTACCTGCCTGCCTGCCAGCCAGTAAAGGGGAAATGGGAAGAAGGGAGTGACTTCCAACAAGAAGAGCTTCATCCACCTCTGTCTTTGAAGAGATGGGGAAGCTAGGGCCCAAAGACTGAGAGGATCTGTGAAGGTTCCACAGCCAGTTAGTGATTCAAGTTAGTGGTCAGACTGTTGCTAGAACCGGGGTTTCCCAACTGGACTCCTTGCACAGTGCTCTTTCCACCCTGTCCCGCCCTGACTTAAATCTTCAAAGAGAAACAGAGACAAGGGGGGAGCCTTGCCTTCTCAGCTGGGACTGTTCTGTAGAGACTGGTAAAAGGGGTGATCTGGGGGGCTTCCCCTCGCTCCCTCACAGTGCTGACCCCACTCCTTGATTCCTCAATCCCCCAAGCAGCTTGTCCTGGGGCAGAAGCCCGTGGGCATCCTGTGAGGACTGCTCTGATGCTGAGGGCTGCCCCCGCCTGTTTCCCCAGGGCCCCCTGGATGTGACACTGACTCAGCCAGTGAGGAGCGGACCGGTCTCAGACAGGTGAGCTGGGCCCCTGGGTCTCATGATCTGGAGCCCCCAGCTTGTTCCCGGGACCCCAATTCTCACCGCCTGCCCTCCCGCGGTTGTGCAATAAGGGAGAGGCCTTACGCCGCCGGACGCTGTGGTTTGGCCGGGGTCCCGGGGGGCGGTCCGACTGGGGGCGCGGGGAGAAAGGGGGGGGTCTGGGCTATTTCTGGTGCGAGGTCAGAATGGCCCAGCGATTCCCACAGCCTGGGGGAGGGGTGTCCAGGCCGGGAGCAGACTCCCCTTGCGGTCTGGGGAGCC